TTCTCTTATTTGAAGCTATCAAGGTAAAAATGTATAATAAATGCCCATTTAGTTCTCCTCTAATCTGAGTGTTCTCCTTTTCACAGCGTCAGTGTTAGCATTACTCTTGTTTCGCTTTGGTTTGGTTTGCAGCTCTCCTGCCTATCTGCTTAAAAGATGAGACTTCAATAAGATGGATAAGAAATATTTGTAGCCTTATGTAGAAATCTTTTTGTAGCTGTTCTGTTCATATTTGTAAGCTTATTTGTGGAAATCCTATTATTAATAGGATGGATGCATGTGTAGTGTTAGATTTCTTCCCAGACTTTATCTAAATCTTTCGCTGCATTATTGTCTTCGAATAAATAATATGTAAAGAAGGCTGAATTTTCTTCACATTACCCTCAATAAATGTGCATAAGCCACCACACAAATCTCATAATTCGCCTCTTCAGTCCTGGTAGTTATAGGACAAATCCAGTAGATTTAGCTTAAGCCTCCAAATATACCTCTGCCGAGAGGCTAAAGTTCTCGTTCTGCAATCCTTTACATTCACTGAGGTTTGCAGTTGCTATGGTTTCAAAAATTTCACTGAAATTAAAACACTTTTATATGTGTCAGTAAAAGTAATTATCTTAGGTAAATAATTTTCCAGAATTGCAGGTTTCTGGGCAGAGATTGCCCCCTATACATGCTGATCCGTTTTCCTGCTTTTGTTCCCCCCTCCCCAAGTCCAGAAGTTGTGTCTGGGGTGAAGATGAAGACTATATTTAGACATAAATGGGTCAGATAAATATCTGACCTAGTTTTCTAACATATAAATATTGTATTTACCTGAGATTTCTTGCTGTTTGCAGTCTAGTTAGAAGTGTACATTAGCCCCACCCAAGCTGCCATACATCCGAAATCCTAGGCGTTTTTTGTAGTGTGCAGGCATTTCCCTCTGTAGCACCTGGTGATGGAGTGAACAGGCTTAGGGAACAGGCACAAGGCAACTGTGCAGCCTGTGCACAGTAACTCCAATAGTTCTAGGAAGTGTTGAGCTTAATACACAAATGCTACACCACCCACGAATTTCTCTCTGGGAAACTGTGCTTAGTTAAACAGCCCTAGCCAAGGTCCCAAACAGTGTATGCTCTGTCTTAGACGAGACACTAAATCATCTTCTCAGATTCTTCTTTGTTGCCATTCATAGGTGCAACCACCGCTCTCCGGGGATGCTAACTGCAGTGTATGGACCAGCTTGCCTAGGGTGCTTAGGAAGGAAATGCCACAGAGAGGCTCCACTACCACACTCAAATTGCTAGCGCTAGTTTTTATGTGAGTGATTCCGGGTAGCCTGTGCATCAAAATGTTCCGTCTAGTCCCTAGTCCTGAGCTCCCTGGATCAGAGTGCAAGGTGCTGCCAGACTGTTGAAAGCCAAATTCTATGTAGTGTCTGGTTCTCAATTATTGGAGTGATTCCACTTCAGGCAAATGTATCTGCAAGCAAATGGCTATAATGCTGGGATGAGATTAAAAATGAAGCCTAATTACCTCAGTTTATTAAACTCCTGGAACGCTTCCAAACATGCCTGTGGCTATGCTTCTCTGATCATGCAGGTTAATCATTTTCAGTGGTGCATTGCAAAATGCTCTCACGCTTTACGTGTCTGCATAATTTTTCTTAAGCTAATGGACTTTGGGCACAGTGCACCTGGGAATGATGGGAGTGCGTGAGGCGCTACAGAGACAATGTATTGTTAACACACCAGGGCAACGCTGGAGCAGATGTCTTACAAAGAGAATATTTTCCTTTGATCCTAAAGACCCTGATCATTATGTCCTGGCTTTCCTCGGGAAAAGAAAAAAAATGCTTGAATGTTTTTTGCCAGTGCTCTGTGTTAACCTCAAATTCACGTTAAAGCAAAAAGAAGACATGGCAGCAGGCAATCAAGTGATCTCATTTCTTTTGCCATCTAAACTGCTGTCACTATGCCATGCGTGGCACAACATACAGTGAGCATACAACGTACACTTTTCAGTGGGCATTGGCTGTTGCTTACAATGCATTGTCACGTGGAGTTGTCATCCTGAGGTTCAATAAATGCCGTATAGATACTGACAACTGAGATCCCCTGGCTGATAATGGTGTTCGAAAAATTAGGCTATGCTGGTGCATTTTGGTAGAATAGTGAGAGAAGCTTCGTATGTCAAGTAAAATCCAGAAGTTTGACTTTTCATTCATTAAGTAATAGAACAGTAATTTTTCCTCCTTATTTTGATTTACCCTTTTTGAAGATATAACTCCTGTTATTAGGAAGAGACTGAAAATACTTA